GCCCAGAAAGGCGTCTAGAAAGTCAGAGATCGGAGCACGCCCATCCGTTTCCTCGGGTCTGCACTTCAGTGGGATCTTCGCCTCGCCAGCAGCAGCTGCCCAACAAGACACGGCACAGCGTTCAGGACGGGCCGGCGGAGGAGGGAGGGCAGAGGCTCCTGGCACACTCACTCGAAGCACACGTGGGACACGGACAGGAGAGGAACGTGGACACACCAGCCCCGGCACTGACCGGGAGGCGTCACGGGCTGGTTAAAGGGCTCAGAGAAATGTGGGCCACGTGGCAGGCACACAGCCCCTCCAGCCCAGGGCGGTCGGGGAGCTGCTGTGCAAACAACTCGCTTGTCCGGCCCTACTCGTGGGCAGCGGGACACCCGGAGGGGGCGGTGGCAGCCACGTCCCCCCCCCCGGGTGCAAACCACTGGGAGTTGTCCATAGAGAACTTCAAAACAATAACAACACATACCAACACTCGAGTCTCCTGTTTATTATCTCCAGGTGGCGACACTTTCAAAGAACGCCAGTGATAAAACACCGCTCTCCCCAAAGCTGTTTTACTGCTCTCAGTTCTATGTCTGCAGGTTTAAGCTCTATTTCTGAGCTTTAATCCTATGTATGTGAGCGTCCGATTAGCCTGTGTTTATTTCTCATGCTTTGAAAACCTCTGTCTTCTAGTGGACATGCCATCAGAGAGCACCCACTTAGCTAGCCAGCCCCCGACACGCACCCACGCGTGCCTGTTCCGAGGGCTGTTGCCCAAATCGCTCAGCACGGGTCAAGCTCACTGTCAGCAGGATCCGTGTCCCCAGCCCCTGTGGCCCTACCTGCACTTTCCTGTGTGGACAGAGCAGATAAAAGTGTCTGCTCTCCCAGTGCCAGAAGAAAGCGAAACAGAAGTGTCTGCAAGCCGGGGCCATTCTCACCAGCACCAACACTAGACTCTGGTTCAAAAGCAACGGACTGCAAAGTGTCCGCTTCAGTCAGCCGTGTCCCCTGAGCTTTGCAGAAGAACAAAAACGTGGGAGAATTTTGCCAAATAAGATAAAAAGCTTACGACGAATTTTCTGGTGAAGACGTTTTAGTGAAAGTGTTTGAAATGGGGAGATATGTAAAAGCCACCAGAATTGATTTAAAAAAAAAAAATAAGACTATAGGCAGTATTGCCATCTCTGGGATATATTATGAAATTGGGGTTTTTATGAATCCCTGACAAACTTATCCTCATGTTTAGGGATTTCCCTAATTGTATATCTTGTTTCACATGAGAGCAGCTCTTGAAATGAAAATGAATAAAGCGTTCTTCAATCAGCTGTAAGCGCTGAGGACCGACTGCCAAACCTCGCTCTCCCGAACTGTGAGCATTAATATGCAGAGAAGATCAACTGTGACAAAGTCATGGACAACATTTCAGAAGTTCAAGTTCCCAAACAGAAACTGTAATGTTAATTTATTCCCAGGACCAACCTATATGTAAGAATAAGTTTTGTGGGGGTTTTTTTCCAAAAATACATGAAAGCCATTAAAAACTATCAATCTACTACTTTTTTCTGTTTTTCTCTATGACATTTACTTTATTTTTCATATTTTACTTTTTCATTGGCATGAGTTCCTAGACAACGCTCAATAAAATAAAATGTGTATTGTTTCTTTGCTGGACATTATTATTCTTCATTTCATTATTATTACTGCAAACTATGCTGTCAGATGACAGAGGGGGGTATTTAAAAGTGACCACTCCAGGCATCAGATATACCAGGTGCACCCTGATGCCAGGTACTTGCAAAGCCGTTTACACGGGTTACAATAATAACAGTAATAATAGTAGTAATAGTAATAGTGAATCATGATTGAGCACTTCATGCGTGTGCAAAGCACTGTTCTGAACACTTCGTAAGTATTAAGTCATAAAACCTTCACTCAGGGAAAGAGAATGGATTTGAGACTTGACTAAAGTCCCACGGCTCGGTGCTGGGGGTGAGGGGGACAGAGCCCAGGCGGGCCCACTGCAACAGCCCACCCTCTGAACCTCTCGGCGGCCAGAAGTGCTAAACTGAAACAAACCATCGGCTGGGCCCCTTTATGGTTTCTGAACCACATCACAGGCTAGAAAAACGGAAAGTGAAAGCAGGGAAATTGCTGACAGGGTGGGTCTGGAGACGCGTCAGCTGAGACCAGAAAAAGCCACTGTGATCAGACCCCAGTGTGGGGGCTGGGGGCAGCAGCAGCCAGTCCAGGGCTGTGGTCTGACTCCGCAGGGCAGCCCAGGACCTCCGTAGAGCAAGGCGTACCTGGTGGCCACCTTCTATCTGCCGGGGTGAGGGCTGTTTTTAAACCTGCCCAGGGAAGTTCAAGTACTGAGACCACTCCAGCAGGTGCCTGCTGCCCCACATTTGCCAGGTGACCCCCAGGGCGGACAGAGGTGTGGCCCCACATCCTCAAGTAGCCCCCACTATGCAGTGTAACTCCGGCTCCAGGACGAGCCACCACTAAAACACGCCCCCGGCCCCAGTCCAAGCCCGCCCCACACTTACGATAGGCGCCCGCATCTTCTTCCCTGCTGTGGACCCTCAATTTCAGGCTGGAGCTCGCTTTATCCGCTGCGTAAATGCCTGAGGCAGGGGGAGCAGGGGTTCGTTAAGTCATTAACAGGTAGTAGCGCCCCCAAGACCCCAGTTCCTGGCAGGGAGACCGTGAGGCTGGTCTCCGATCCCTCCAGAAAGAGCCGGCTCACTCCCTTGGAGTCCCTCGCTTGCCCCCGCCGTGTCCTGCCGGGGGCTGTGACGGGATGAACCCCCTGATGGGGGCAGGGGAGGTTCACCAGATACCCGAGAGGCGGGGCGGGGGCGAGGGCTGTAAGCGTCCCCAGCCGGGAGGGCCGCCCACAGTCGGCAGCGGCGCCACCCGGCCCACGGTGCTAGGAGGCGACAGCTGCTCTCTAACTTGTTTGCTCCTGCCTCACTCGACTTCTCCGTCTCCCACAGCGCCCTGGGGTGGGGAAGATTACCCGGCCTCTCACCCTTCCTTGGGTCCTGGAAAGAACCGCTCCACCCACCTCGGATTTGGGAGGCAGCACGGCCGCAGCGGCAAAGAGACCGGACTTTAAGGGCGCCGAGTCCCGACCCGAGTGAGGTCACCCGGCCCCTCCCCGACTCGCTGGCTAATGAGAGCTCCGCTGAGCTTCCGCCCGGCCCTGGCCGCTGGGACTGCCTGCTCCGCTCGGGCGTGCCACTCACCCCGGGCCTCTCTCCCTGCGCCGGCCCCTGCGTGGAAGCGCTCCAAGGCCACCGCCTCCTCTACAGGCGATCTGCGGGCCACCCCACCCACGTTCAAGAACGGGTTTTATCCTGGGTCCCTGCGCACACATCACACTGAAGTGTAAATAATTTATCTTCTCCACTAGAGGGGGCTTATAGTTTAAGACTATATTAAATTTTAAAGGCCTTAGAAGACAAAGGTTTTGCAGAGTGAAAGTACCTTTAACTATCGGATCTTGTTTGTTTTTAGAGACAGAAACGTCAATTTGTTATTCTACTTATTTATGCTACTTACTGGTTCTTTCCTGTATGTGCCCTAAGTGGGGATGGAACCCAAAACCTTAGGCATATCTGGATGATGCTCTAACCAACTGAGCTGCCAGGCCACCGCCTTAACTATGGGGTCTTAAGCCATTAGATAGCCCCAAAGCCGGAACACAGAAGCCATCTCATGAATGAATTAATTAAATGACCAAACACAGGCCCTCCCTCTGCATCCCTCTGTGACTCCACAAGAGTAGAACCAGCTCCTGTCCATCTCCCTGTCCCCCCGCCCCCACTGCTCCCAGGCAGCAATGAGCCTTAGAATCAGAGTGCTTGGGCCAAACGCTGGCCCTGCCACTTGCTGGTTATAGGATCCAGGCCCCCTTCCCTCTCTGAGCCTCAGTTTGTTCATCTGTAAAATGGTGCGTTGGTGATACCATACAACGTGTAAGACGATATGTAAAACTACATTCCCCAAAGGGAGCCCTGGCTGGTGTGGCTCAGTGGATGGAGCACTGGCTGGGAACTGAAAGGTCTCGGGTTCAGTTCCCTATCACGGCACATGCCTGGGTTGTGGGCCAGGTCCCCAGGTGGAGGCGTGCAAGAGACAACCGATGGATGTTTCTCTCCCTCTCTTTCTCCCTGCCTTCTCCTCTCCCTGAAAATACATAAATAAAATCTTTTAAAAATAAAAACTCCCCTAAGGAGAGGAAAAAAATGGAATGATCTTCTAAAGTGCGGAGCCCCGAGTGAGGACTGTGGTAACCGTGTTACCAACACGAGGGAAGGCATATGCTCACGCACATCACACGCTATTCACCAGCTTCCCGACAAGGCCAGTCAGAGGCGACATAAGCACGTGCTGGAGCCTTCCGTGCGTGACCCCACGCCCAGCAGAGCGCTGTGCACGTGCAGCGAGCGACCAGCCGCAAGGCGATCCAAACCCAGGCTGGGGCGCTTCGGTTTGGCTCGGATGTCACATGCCCTCCTTTTTTCTCATGTCCTCTGTCTCTTTTTTTTATTTTATTTTAATCATTGTTCAAGTACAGTTTTCTCCCTTTTACTCCCAGTCCAGCCCCCCTCCCAACCCTCCCCACTTCCCTCCCATTACCACCCCCCACCCCCAGTTTTTGTCCATGTGTCCTTTAAATTTGTTCCTGTAAACCCTTCCCATTCTCCCCTGAAATTCCCTCTTCTCTCCCCTCTGGTCACTGTCAGTCTGTCCTCTATTTCAGTGTCTTTGGTTATAATTTGCTTGTTTCTTTGTTTTGTTGTTTAGGTTCCTGTTAAAGGTGAGATCATATGGTATTTGTCTTTCACCGCCTGGCTTGTTTCACTTTCTGCGCCAAGAAAAACAAAACAAAAAGCATGGAGAGGGGCAGGGATGGCAGGGTTGGCCAAGAAGTCCATTTCGGGTTTTTCCATAACATAAAAGACACGTTTTTCATTCTCACCAACAACTTTATTGATTTGGGTATTTTGAATACGTCGGCTGTCTCCTGCTATTGGCGTCTGATGGGCAGAGGCCGGGGGCGCTGCTAACCGTCTTCCAGTGCATCAGACGGCCTCACAGCAGAGAGTTATTTGGCCACAATGTCAACGGTACCAGGAAACTTCACAACCCACCTTTGATATGTTCAATCGGTCACAGCAGCTTCTCCATACACCGTACAGGTCTTTGTTTTTGCATTTCAATTGTGTTTTGACCTTTCTTGAAATAATAAAGCCTAACATTGCATATTTCCTTCCATTTTCAATATTCAAACGGCTGCACAAAAATTTACCAATTTTGAGAAGTTTGTTTAAATGCACGCTGACGTGACAGCTGTTACCACACTATCTAACAAAACTGTTTCGAATGAAGTTAAAGACAACGAGGCGCTCCTGGAGCCATCGTACAAAAACAACTAATGAACTTCTTGGCCAACCCAATGCGTTGTCACCTTCCTGGCAGCTCTCAGAAGAGGAGCTCCGTCAAGGGAGGCCCCAGGCCCGAGAAACCACCCCAGGATGCCAGCACCATCAGCAGGACCATCCTCAGCCCCATCCTGCATTGTCACCGCCGTGCAGGTAGACAATGGTGCCAGGGCCAAACTGTCACCCGCCTCTGAAATCTCCAGTCTTTTCTGCAGCCGTAGCCATGGAACCCGGTGACAGAGGGACGGATGGACTTTTAATGATTTGTAATCTCTCCATTCTCCGCCTTCGGAGGAAGAGGGCGGTTCCTCCCGGAGAAACCACGGTTTTGCCAAGTCTCTGAGGAAGGAAGGAGTAACTGAGAAAGTGGGAGAAAATGGCACAAAGCTAAATGCCGTGTGGGGATTCTGAGCAGGACGCTGGGGGTGGAGGAAGCGAGGCCAGGGCAGAAGAAAGGGGGCTTGGGGAGAGTGGGCAGGCAGCTGTGGCGCTGGCCGGCGTGGCTCAGTGGGGTGAGCGTCACCCCAATTCCTGGTCAAGGCTCATGCCTGGGTTGAGGCTTCGGCCAACCCCCACCCGGGTTGGGGTGCCAGCGAGAGGCAACCGACCGCCTCACATCCATCTTTCTCTCCCTCTTTTCCCCTCCCTTCCCGTCTCTCTAAAATAAATAAGTAAATTTTTTTTTTTTAAGGGGGAGGCTGTTTGCAATGCTGCTTTACACCCAAGGAGCAGAATCACAGGAGTTTTTTGTAATAACATGCGAGTTTCTGTTGCTGATCTGCACCTCTCAAGACAGGAGCTGCCCCGGGAACGGCGCTCCATCAGCCCCCCCGCACCGGCTTCTTCCAAGGGCCCAGGCCACTCCGGCGAGGCTTTGGAACACACCACTTTCAACAGTTCTCGCTGAACAGACAAAATCGGACGTTTCTGAAAGAAAGGGAAGATGAAATACAACGCCCTCCCGAACCGCCCACCCCTCACGTCCTCCTGAGAGGCCAGAACGAATCCTTGTTGAGACCCCGAAGAGCTTCCACGGCGCGAGTGTTCAGCACAAGCACCTCCACTGCTTCCCCTTCAGGGACCGCTCCTGCAGTGTCCCGGCCTCTCACTCGGCCGCGTGTTAAACGGCCAGGCCAGGGGACTGGCAGCTGCTGTAGAAACAGCTTGTCACCTGTCCGGCAGTCTTCCATTTGGTGACTGTGGGGCTCTGGTGGGGCTGCCCATCACAGTACCCTGGCACCCTGACTAGAGACACAGGGGACCTAGGTCTGGCTGGGTATGGTGCCCCAGCCCCCAGGCCAGTGATTGGCCCTGGAAGGACCACGTGCCCCAAGGCCAGCGTGCAGTCCGAAGCTTTCTCCAGGATGAAGCTCTGTACACACACACACACACACACACACACACACACGTTTTTAAATAGGCGGTGGGTCGATAAACAAGTATCTTTCCTCTGGGGACATAAGAGTGGGATGATGTAAGCCTGGAGCCATTCGCGCCTGCCCTGCCCTGCCCTGCCCTGCCGCACCAAGGACATCTATCAGAACAGATAATTCCGCCACCTCAGAAAACGGCCTGCTGACATTTGATTCCTTCCCGTGCCTTTTGTAGGTTTTACTCCTACACATCCAGTTACAGGAAACATTTTCCCAGTTACCATTTCTTCTTTAAAAATATAGGACGGCTCTGGCTGGTGTGGCTCAGTGGATATTGAGCGCCGGCCTGTGAACCGAAAGGTGGATGGTTCGATTCCCAGTCAGGGCGCGTGCCTGGGTTGTGGGCCAGGTCCGCCATTGGGAGCACGTAAAATGCAACCAATTGCTGTCTCTCTCACACATCAATGTTTCTCTCCCTCCCTTTCTCCTCCCCTTCCCTCTCTCTAAAAATAACCAGAATCTTAAAAATTTAAATTGATGACCTGGTTGGTGTATGTAGCTCAGTGGATTGAGCTCAGGCTGCGAACCAAAGCATCGCAGGTTCGATTCCCAGTCAGGGCACATGCCTGGGTTGCAGGCCATGGCCCCCAGCAACCACACATTGATGTTTCTCTTTCTCCTTTCCTTCCCTCTCTGAAAATAAATAAAATCTTTAAAAAATTTTTTAAATTGAGTTGGGATTTCTTTTCAGCAAACTGATACATGGTAATGAAAGGCAAGAATGTCAATGTGGCAAAAACAAGCCAGTCTGCTTGACCTCTCCCCATCCACGCAAGGCCACTCTCCCCACTGCTTCTCTCCTTCTCCTTGGCCCACGGCGAGTGCTGCATCAGCACTCTGACGGGAGCGCCCGGTTCTCACCCCTCTTCAAACCGCACCAGCTTACCGGTCTGTCCCTTCCCCGCTAAACCGTGCTCAGGATAACGCCAGCATGGCGCCTGACCTAGGACCACCTGGGACGATGGATGGATGAAAGCTACTGGCCAGGGTGTTTCAAACTGGGAAGTCTTTTTTACTGTAGGGCCGAGTAGGGCCTATCCAGTGATGAGTCAATGTATGAGGTGCTCAATGCAACCTCCCCACGGCCTCCAAGGTCGCCAACGAAAGGGGAAGTTTTCAGGAGCTGCACCTCACCCCACCCCCAAGAGAAACCACTTACCCAGCAGGATTCAGGTGGGACAACCACATGACAGTGCGGCAAATTCAAAGGCCCTCGGGAGTTGCATGTTATGTACTATACATGCAATTTGTATGTGACGGTCAGAGCCACCAGCAGCAGCACAGCCTCCCCCAGCACTGTGCTAGTACGAGGAAGCGGACCCAGGCCACACTGCCGCTACATTTGACCAGTTATCCGCTTCCCGGATGCCCTATTTGCTTTGCCCGGCCCAAACCTGTTTCACAGATCTTCCCACAGAAAAGGAAAAAAAATTAAACACACACACACACAGACATGATGCTGTGATCTTTATTCCATTAAATGACCTTATAACTAAGAAACAGAAACATGCTTTTAATATACTAATAGCATAATTGCATCCTATTGCACTTTTTAAAAGTATATCAAATTTTAAAGCCATTTTAAAGGGTATAGGACAAAGTATTTTTCACACATCATTTTTTAAAATTTATTGATTCTAGAGAGAGGAAGACAGAGAGACATCGATTTGTTGTTCCACTTATTTTTGCATTCACTGGTTGATTCTTGTACGTGCCCTGACCAGGGATCGAACCTGCAACCTTGGCATATCAGAACAATGCTCTAACCAACTCAGCCACCTGGCCAGGACAAGTTACTTTTTTAAAAATCTGAGAAGAAAAATTGTTTATGTTCAAGATCATCATTAACTTCCTTAGGGTTTTAGCCCATTACAGCATTTATTCATCTCAATCAGAAAGCTTTGGGAATCAAAGTCAACCTCCCCTTGGTCGTAAGAACACTATTTTTAAATCTTAGTTCTGGCACATAAATTTTTTTTCAAATGCTTCTGCCCCTAGACCTGTTCTGAAAGTTCTTAATGTGTGTTGTTACCTTTGTCGCTAATTTTCCAGGTTATGATCCTCTCCTTCCTTTCTGTTCATCACTCTTACTTATGGCTTGAGGTTTTCTGTGCGTGACTTCGTGGTTCAAGTCACAGTGCTGAATTTCGTTTTTTAAAAAAAGAAACACAATTTTCAAAATAGTTTTGTTTAATCTTAATCATACCTGCTAGTAAACAGAACACCTGTACATTCATTTTTCAGAGAAGGCACTAGGACATCCCACCTTTGAACAACAGCTGCAAGGAGCTCAGCCAATGCTCTCGACTGCAGGCACCCTTACCTCCCTGAACGGTGCGAGCCCTCGGGAGTTGTACCCGGCAGACACCTCACCTGAACCACAAGCAGGAGCCTCCACGGGCCTCCCGTCCACGCTGAGCTGCGCTTTCCCGCCACACGGTGCAGTCTCTGAACTACCTGCTATTCTGTGTATTAAAGTGGGCACTCCGGGGCCGCAGCCCGGACCAACTGGGGCAACCCCTCAGTATGAAGCTGGGAATCTGAACTTTAAAAAAAAAATCACATACACAAATAGATTGTATTTTCATAACTGAAGTTTGTCTTCATGATGCCTTTTTCCCTTGACTAAAATTTTGTTGGATCTAAATGTAAGCCGGAATGATGCAGACCCATTTGAATTTCAATAGTTCTATGGGATTAAAAAAAAAAATACCATGAAGACTTCCTGTAAATTACATATATATATTTGTTAAATATTTTACTATTTACTTATTTATTTGTAGAGAGTGGAAGGGAGGAAGAGAGGGAGAGAAAGAACAATGTGTGGTTGCCCCTCGCGTGCCTCCAGCTGGGGACCTGGCCCACAACCCAGGTATGTGCCCTGAGTAGGAATCGAACCAGTGACCCTTTGGTTCGCAGGCCAGCGCTCAATCCACTGAGACATACCAGCCAGGGCCCATGTAAGTTATTTGAAAAAAAAAAAAAAAAAGCCCCCTAAGAAATATATAAAACCTTTTTATCGCTTCTGCCTGAACTTAAATCTGTCACTCAATTTCGCCACAATTCTTACATACCTGTGCACACACCTAAACCCCTCGCACGCGGCACCACCGCTGCCGGCCGACCGCCACTGGGCGTGACCGCCAAAGAAACGCGCTGCCAGCGCCAGGCAGCTCAGCTGTCTGCCCAAAGCATTTCACTTTGTGTAAAAGAAAAAAGGAGTGGTAACAGGTAAGGCAAAAACCATATTCACAGGCAGTGTCACCAAACGTGCAGCACATGTCAGGACAGAAACGTGCCCGGAGCCGACAATTTCCCCGAGTGCCACGGAAACCAGGGCTGCGTCTGCGGGTGCACCGCCACGCGTGACCACGGGGGGGCAGTCCGCCCTCCTTTGTCTACACACTGATCTGGAAAGATCTCTCAGTGAAAGAATCAACATGTTCATTCTATTATTTTTACTCTAAGCAAATTGTAAGTATTAAAAAAAATTTAACCTCTCCTGAAATGAGTTTTTATTAGGAAATGTTGAAAGCCTCCTCTCGCATGCTAACAGGAGTGCGTGCACACGCTGTTAGGAACGTGCGACTGAGAAACGCTGTGCAGAGAGGCCAGCCGGCAGCCCAGCCGGAGCGCGACACAGAAGCGGAGTCCGAACCCCCAAGTGACGTCCCTGACCCACAAATTAAAGGCTGAGGGAAGGTAAGAGGGGAAAGACATTCTTTTCAACCAGGTTATAAACCTCCCCAGGACTATTTTAGGCCAACAATGAGAATGCATCTCACACTGAAAAAGACAATGTAAGATTATGGGTTCACTGTTAGAAAAGAGGCAAAAAAAAAAAAAAAAACCACAAAAAAACTCAGAAGAATCCTCACTGAGAAAACCTTATAAACACTTTTCAGAGACAGAAGAACGTTAATTAAGACCAAAAAAATTAAGGCTTCCTGGCATAATTAAATCAAATTACTCCTTTAAGATCAAACAGGAATGGTGAATTTAAAGAGTAAATAAATCCTAAGATATCACTGAACCATACATTATTTTTTACTTTAAAAAATCTAATATTTTAGTATTAAAATAAGTTTTAGACACATCATCCTTTTCTCACCATTAAAAGTAGGAGCAATCTATAGACAATTATTCTGAAATCTATAAATATTCTTATAAAATGCATTACAAGTGAAGTATCTCAGCATCTGTAAGGTTTTTTTAAGCAAAAAGTAAAACATGGAAACACAGGTTTATTAAACCCAGTGCCGGCACTCCGGCTCTAGCGGAACACCACCCATCACACTGACGTTTTCCATCTGCACCCTAGAGACTTGGTGGGTTTGTTTTCAATTCACATCCGTAAGCCTTTGGCTACTAAACGTGAACGTTTGGGAATATGAGAGGCCACCTGAAAATCCACTAAATTTTCAAAAGTAAGCTTTCGATGAACAGTCAAAGCTAAGCATCACTGATGTGCAAGTAGACAGTTTTTAGAATAGGAATTTTTCTAAAATTTAACAACAAGTGACTAAAATAGCAAGAACTTCGGGGCAAGGCGGTATGCAAATATGAAAAAATATAAAATGCTTGGAATTAATTCAGGACTTATAAAAATACTTGAATGGTAAAGTGTTAAAGTAGTCAAAAAAATTCTTTAATAGATTGTATGCTAGAAGAAGCTTTCTTTTTTCCACCTTCCATTCATACTTCATATATACAGAATTCACTCGGACTTGGCCTAGGTCTTCCTCCCTCCCTCCCACAAAAATTAAATTATCTTCAGAATTAAGGCTCACACACCTGAATGTTTATATAAATACTTGCAGGCAATTTTTAGGAGTTTTAAAACCAGCAATAATTCACCATTATAAATCAAAGGAAAAGGCAACTAACAGACAAATTTTTATCATACAATCAAGGTAAACGAAAGAATTCTTAGATACTTCTAGATAGTGTCTTTATTTGGATGGGGCTTTGGTCCTTACTAAGCCAAAGCTACTTTAAAGCTGGCAGACAGGTCAAGTAAAGTTAAATAAAGGAAGACTCACTAAAGATAAAATTGACGGTTTTAGCTCCATTATTAAAAACATCAGTGCACAGGAGAATGCAAATGGACATTTTGGATAAAGACCTGATTTAATGGGAAGTCACGTGAAACGGGACGTGACGTTTGGAAATATCTTTCCTCAAATTTGCAATCAGGTTTCGATCTTATGCAGAACTCTCAAAAAACCTCCCAAAGACAGCTGTGTGCGAGTGTGCATAACGCACACAGGAATACAGATCTGCAGTGAGTCTGCCCAAGGCACAAGTTCCAGTGACTTACACGAGGTCACGTGGTTCATTTAAACACTAGCTTTTTTCTTAAATCATCAAGCTCATGCCTTTTGTTATGAGCTTCTCTGGCTTTTCAAGGCATGTTTGCTCTAGAAGCGACAGAAATAAAGGCAAAAAAAAAATGTTCCAACAAAACGGAAAGCCTGTCGGGAAACTTCAATGAATGGCAGATTCACACACGGGATGGTTTTCCCACGCCATGTGGCAGACAGGAGCCTCTGATATTATAAGACTTTAAAGGTGTAACAACATCATTTTCAGTCTTTAGTTTGGAAGGTTTTGCAAATTTTGTAAACTTTTCAAAAAGGAATCCTTCTCAATAGATTGGGTACAAAAGAACGGACAAGTTTCACCCCCAGCCGGGCGTCCCCGAGGCCGTCCCGGCCCCTCCCCGTCGAGCCCGCAGAAGCACGGGTCCCATTTGCAAAGGCACTACGTGGCACAGAAAGGGCTTGGAACAGCATTTCCATTTTTTCCTTTAGCTTTTCCCCCATAAAGTGCACAAAGCAGAGAGCAGTAAGAAATCAGGCACGGGCTTGGATCTGTACCACCAGCAAGGAAAAGAAAGGCTTCCATCAGCAACAGAAGCGTGTTTAAGAATTTGAAACCACAGGAGAAGTCTGTTCATTTATTGGCGCCAAGTTCTGGCTCGTCCCGGCTGGTCCCGGACCCACGCCCCCTCTGGGCCTGGACCTGTGGCTGCGGCGGAAACCCAGAAATCAGCAGGCACTGGTCAGCGTCGTGTCGAATCCTCCCGCTGAGACGCTACTGGGCTTTTTTATCCGTGGGGTGTCTTCCAGCAACCGCATCCCTCAAAGCAGCCTGAGTGGAATTGCCCATATGAGAAGCAGCCTGCAAAAGTCCATGGTCCAACATGTAAGCTGAGAAAGGACAGCCCAGCATCAAGAGAATAAGTCCTTGGAGATAAACTTGGAAAAATTTCTGTCTGTATCATCACGATGTTACAGCAAATACGGAAATGAAGATGTGGGGGAGGGGACCCCGTGGCAGAAGCTACCTCCCAAGAGAGTTAGCCGAGCCCCTGCCCTGTTGCTGGGGTGGAGCAGGCACCTCTCTGGGCTTCGTTCACCACGAGCTTTCAACTTATCCGGTCTGTTCATGCTACTCAGAAACAGAAACCGTCCGAGTCGCAAGGATCTGCAAACCTAGATACCATGCGAATGTCAAAAGCCACTGGCTTTTTGGAGGGTTTTAAGTGAAAGAAACGCCATTCATTAACAGGACTCAAAACAAAAAGTACTGTTAAGTTCACGTGTTTCAAAGCTCCTGGTTTTCAGTAAAACAGAGTAAGCCGGGACGGGAGGATGAGCCACACAGGGATTGCGTCTGACGAGCGTGGTCAGAAGCTTCCCGTGAGGAACGCAGCGTGTCTGAGCTGGGGCGTTTTTTGCATTGAAAGGTAATCGTTAGGCATGAAAACATCAAAATTAAGTATTAAAATCCTAAGGAGGATAGTAAAACATGCTTATCAGAAAAAAAAAATAGCCAGGGAAAGCTTCTCATGCCTTCTTTCCCTAGGAAGCTCTTCCAAATGGAATGTTTTACAAACACAGATATTAGAAACACAAATACCTGTCCTCAGGCCGCAGCTGGCACCACTTACCTGCTCTAACACAAACGCTGCTCCGGAATCAATGGCTCCGCCCAGCTCACGGTACTGACCGGAGTACCTGATGTAGCCCCAGGTGAGAAGTGCGATTAGCAGCAGCCCAACCATACAGTTGAACAGCTGGGCCACCACCTCCAGCCCGACGAAGCCAGTGAGGCCCGACGCGATGTACAGCGCTACGATGCCCGTGAAGAGCACGGCGGGCGTCCGGAAGGTGCTGAAGATGTTCTTGCTGCCGTTGTGCTTGCAGAAGTTCTCGTACAGTTCCTTGATCTCCTCCTCCAGCTCCTGCTGGTAACGAAGGCTAAAATCCTTCCCGCCCATCTTCTTGGTCTTCTTAAAGTGGTCCAGAGCAAGTTGTCTGAATTCACCGTGCTTCTCCTCTAGAATGTCTGGAGACAAATACGGTTTCTCTCCCCCACACACCTAAAGAAAGATAAAGACACAGTGTGTTGAAGATCCCTTCAAACGCAAGTGCCAAATACAATTTAAGAAGTAAAACACTGAAAATTTTAGAATATTTTTTAAAGAAGTTGAACCACTTTCTTTTCTTTTTTTGTAAGAGATTAATTATTTACTTTTAGAAAGAGGAGAAGGGAGGAAGAGAGGGAGAGAAGCAACAATGTGTGGCTGCCTCACACGTCCCCTACTGGGGACCTGGCCCGCAACCCAGGCATGTGCCCTGACTGGGAGTTGAACTGGCGACCCTTTGGTTCACAGGCCAGTGCTCAATCCACTGAGCCACACCAGCCAGGGCTAGAATATATTAAGATATTAGAAATTAACTAACAATGATAACCAAGACCAATACGGTCTAGGTTCACTGCCTCTGAAGGGACATCTGAATTCCAGCGGCGCGTTGCTGCATGAGACCCATGGCGGGCAACAGAGCTTCGGCTGGAAACACTGCCAGTCACGAGGCCCCAATGACCAGGGTGACCTGAGTCCATCCAGCCTGTTGCCTCACCATCTTCAGATACAGTGAACGGGATCAAGTTCGGGCTTTCGAATTCAGGTTACAGATATTTCAGGATAAGATGCACACCCAACATACCTCTTCCATGTTGTTGTAATAAATGTCCTTGGCAGAGGCTGCGGCTGCTAAATTGTTGGCTTCGGCAGTGGCCTTTTAAGAAAGGAAAGCATGAGCTATAAATCCTTCCGCTTTTAACGTTCTTCTACAAATAACCGTGAAAAATTTTTCTCTCCCCTTATTCACCGTTTTTCCTTTTTTATTATCCTGCTATTTTTCTAGGTTTCCATATAGCCCAATTTATGAAATAAAATATACCTTTTCTGCCAAAAATGTTCCCACACATAAGAATCTTTATCGTAAACTATATATCTGAAAATTCCTTTGCTTCAAAAATTTTTAAAGATTTTATTTATTTATTTGTAGAGAGGAAAGGGAGGGAGAAACAGAGGCAAAAATCAATGTGTGGTTGCCTCTCACATGCCCCTCACTGGGGACCTGGCCCGCAACCCAGGCATGTGCCCTGACTGGGAATTGAACCAGCGACCCTTTGGTCTGCAGGCTGGCGCTCAATCCACTGAGCCACACCAGCCACACATTTAAAATTGCTTCAATTTTAAATGTTAAAAAAGCTGCAAGTCAAAAAAGGGAAACAAACTGTCTTTACAGCATCAATCCCGACCTCCAGCTTCCTGAGTGAACATGTTTTTCCTACAAAAGGAATACATGTGCGGCAGTCAGGGACTTCGTGGTCAGCACACGAAAGCCAGAAACCATGTTTTAACCACACGACACTGTGAAAACACCAAACGCTGATGGTGAAACTAATTGAAAATACAAGACCCGATGAGTCAGCAGTAAACAGATGCCTAATTGACACATCAGGGCACATCCTCCCGCAGCAGACGTCAGAGAACAGAAAAGCGACCTGTCTCATGTGACCTGGGAGAGACGAAATGGCTCTCACGGTGTGTTTGGTGGGAAGACCAGCCCAGGGAGAGGCCGTTCTCTGTGCACCAAAGCACCGAGAACACAGACGGGAAAGCCGGAAGGCAGCCGCTGCTGGAAAACGCGCTGACAAGGAGCGGGGCTCGCTGGCACGACGGGGAAGCAGGGCCACAGCGCCGCCTTCTTGAAGGACGCTGCTTCGGGACCCAGATCGCCCCGCGCGACCGACGGCATCACCGGGGAGTCCCAGGACTGCATACCTGAAGCATGGACTTGGGGTGAGGCAGATCCTCTCCTTGGTAAATTTTAATGTATGCCTTAAAATGTAAACACAAAAACAGTCACCAAAAATGTCATTGTCATGATTTATCATACTCTTAATTTGTAGGAGCGACCAAACAACTGTATTTGCCTCCAGACCTAGATCAACACCCAGGAATTAGCAAAAACCACGACACACCTCTGCGTGCAGGTTAGCGTTTTTAGTTAACTGCGATGTTCTCAAGCAGCACAAGCCTTCCACGGCTCAGATGCCCACCAGGCTCCCCATGCGCGCTGGCCTCTCCACTACCTGTGGGCAGAGTGACCGTCCGCCTCGAGGTGGCCGTGTCACATCTAGGTGCCGTCTCCTCCTACTCACGGCAGCCTCCTAACCACCTCCTGCGCACACCATCGTGCCTGGGGAACAATCTTCCTTTAGCCACAGTAATCGCTCCTCTGAGAGTGCGAAGAACACCCATTTGCTTCTCAGGCCAACACTGCCACCCTGTGGTCTGCTCGGGGAAGGACACGGGAGTCTGAAAATGCCTCCCACCGTTTGCCCCAGGGAACTTTCCCCTAAGCTGTAATTACAATACAAGTCGGTTTACGACCTAGACCAGTTTTACCAAAAGTCAAACATTTTAATATTAAAACCCATAATTACCTTAAAATACTCCAACAGCCCTCGGCAGGTGACTTTTGAGCCATTGATCTCCTTCTCCATTAAATTCGAGGGGTTTAGTATGTATGGAATCAGCACCTGCAACTGCTCTTTGAACTCGCTGGCGATATCTGTTCACAGGACCACGAAGAAGGAAACAATAAGCCAAACAGACCCTCCGGCCAAGGTGAGCACCACACACTCGCAGGTCCGTCCCGCTGTTTCTGCACGCTCTGGTCTGAAGTGGGGCCATGCCCGCAGCAGACGGACCCCTGCTCTCCGGCACCTCTGTTGCCGCCTTCCGTCTGCGGCACCCGGCACCGCACCCTCCCCGCTCCAGAAGAGACCGTGCAGGACATCCTCGCCCTGGTTTTCCTGCTGGGAGGGGCACGCCTACTCCCTAGCCTCTCGAGAAACTTAACTTTCTCAGGGCAGGCCCTTGCCGCACCCTCATGCTCCCCTAAAATGTATTAGAAACCACTACTCATCCATTTCTTTCTTTTTTTGGTCATTTGTTAACCTTAGAAGCAGAAGAACCCCCAGTATTTCATGATACTACTCCCTTTCACCTCCTCAGAGAGGCCCCCTGGAAACCACCCCACAGGGAGAAGCCTGGGGAAGGGAGAAGCCCGCCGGCTCGGAGAGGTGGCCGCTTCTCCGCAGGGTCCACACGGTTCCCACAGAGGGCTCGGGAGAGCCCGGAAACAAGAGCGCTTCGTCAAGGTGAGAACTAGCAGCAGGTCAACGACGAAGTCACAGGAACCCGCCCTACGTCATCCAGCGCCTCCCAAGGTTTCCCACCAACTCCAGCCATCAGCTGAAAAGAGAGCGGCAGGAACCCGCAGCGAGGCGGGAGCCCGTCAACACTCCACCACTCCAGCTCGTGACACCGAGACGCTCGGCTCTCACTTATTCATTCGGCAGTCTGGGGCGCCTTTTTGTGGCAGGCCACCGCGCCAGTTGGGTGGACAGCAATGACTATGACGACAGTGGTTTCTCAGTGGTTCCAGTGACAAATATCACCACAGAAATCTCAGTTGAAACACTTCAGATTACTTTATTTCCTTAGATTATATGACCCTCTAAGAGGGATGACTCGGTATTAAAATGACAATGTAGACTCCCGGAAAACATTCAAAACTATGTTTAAAAATCTCTAAAGCTGCCCACCGGATAATCACAATTAACACTTAAAATACCCCCCTTCCCTTTTTGGCTCTTACATATTGCTAAATTGTTTTTGTAACAGACTGTATCGATTTATACCCACCAATGTAGTGAGAAGGCATGTGTACTACTCTCAACACCCCAGAGATTTTTACTGTTTGTAAAACCTACTGGTGACAACCAGGGCCCCGGCCCTTCTGTGTCTGGCAGCGCCAGAGACTGGAGACTCGGAAGGGGCCTCCCTCCTGCCGAGGCCCTGCGGAGCCGGGGAGCGGCTGCGAGGGGCTGAGCCAGTGCAGGAGGCGTGAGCCAAACCAGAGCAGCGAGCTCAGTGCGTGTGAAGCTGTGGCTCTCGGCTCCTTCGGGAATACCCACAGTCGCGACGGGCGACTCAATTTCTGGCAAACTCAACTCCTTCCTACCCCAAGTTGGACCCCAGCATGCTGGCACACTGATCTTGGACTTCCAGTCTCCAGACAGACAAGAATAAATTTCTGTTGTTTATAAGCTACAGTATTTTGTTACAGCAGCCCGAACAGACTAAGACAGTTGGGAGCACCACTGGGCATCTAAAAATGGCAACTATTATCATTTTTACTGGGAACCTCAGAAGCTCAGATAAGTTTATAAAGAAAAGTGCTTAGTCTAGCCCTGGCTGGTGTGGCTCAGTGGACTGAGCTTGGGCCTGCGACCCAAAGGGTTGACAGTTCAATTCCCAATCTAAGGCACATGCCTGGGTTGCAGGCCAGGTCCCCAGTAGGGGGGCGCAATAGGCAACCACACGTTGATGTTTCTCTCTCTTCTTACTCCTTCCCTTCCCCTCTGTCTAAAAATAAAGAAAGAAAATATTTTTGTTTAAAAAGTGCCAAGTCTAACGCAGGGGCACACTGAGGGCTGGCCACTCAGTGACTGAAGGTCTCGTGGATAAGGAACAAAAATAAGACAGCGGAACCCGAGAGCCCCAACTCTGGTCCCTGTGAGCCGCCATCTGGCCAGCACGCCCCGAGAGCAACACGTGGCTCGGCACCACAGGTGAGGCGGGGAGGACAGCCGTGCCGCGCAGCAGGCTGTCTTTCTTCAGGGAGTTAATTTTACCTGATAAATATCAGCTGACTGGTGCTTAGTCTCCCTTCACTGAGCACTGGTGTCTCTGATAAACCAATAATCACAACGCGCCTCTGAGAAAGAGCACGAACGGGGATCACCCCCGCCGCGTCACACAGAGACACGGAGGCGCGCCGATCTGCCGCTCATGGGCAGGCAGAGGGCAACTGAACCGGACGACCAGACTCGACTGCTCCTCCTAAGAGAACACACTATTTCTCCTGAGCATTCACTAGATTCTTAAGTGGTATATTCTGGTCACTATTTAATTCCAGAGATCAAATCCCGTATTTGAAACACCGCCACCTGTGACACACCTTTCAATTTCCCATCGAACTCGGGGCTTGTGGCCACCTGGAGCCCTGGGTGCGGCAGCAGGAAGCAGGACACGCTGGAGAAGCACGAGTGGATGTGGTTGCGGACGTTCTGGATCTCCTCGTGCTGCTGCTCCTTCACCTGCCGACGAGACCGACAGTTCACAAAAGCCCGTTTGTTCTTCTCCACTAGGAGCCGCTAGTGAAGGGAACTAGGACAAAGGAGAGACTTCCCAACTCTGGCGGGTCGCAGTGGCCTATATTTTTTCCAGTGAGCACACGCAGAGTCCTAAGAAGCAATGAATGCATGAATTTGATTAACTATGGCTTAGCTCCTACAGCTACCACCAAAGAACAGGTAATAAAGAGTTTCTTTTAAAAAGAGCATTGCACAATACTTAGGAAGAATAACAGGTTTGTGGGCAGGAGGTAGGATCTAACCAGGTGGTAATCATCGACAAAGGGCTCCTGTGTTTTCCTTTTGGAAAAAATGCAAACTAGGCCTGTTTATATTCATCCTAAACCAAATAAGAATTCTGAATAAGAACAACAGACTAAAGTTCTGAATGTGACATTCTAAAGGCACACACAGAATCTGGTGTCAAATGTGAAGTGGAAATCGCCACCAAAGCCTGGGCTTCTGCTCAGAGCTCTTCTCCACAATCCCCATGCCCCGTGTACCCGGGTTCTCGCATCTAAAACACGAGTCTGAGTGTGTGCTAATATGCCTAAGTATGTAACACACTTAATATAATTTCCCACAGTCTGCTTGCAATACCATCGATAAGGCAAGTGAGAACGTCATCACTGCTTTTAGGTGATTCCTCATACTATACTTCTACCTACCTGTAGGCGCTTTTCCAAAAATGCCATTCCTCCCTGTAGTCCATAGCCGTACTCATAAGGGAAGCTCCAGTCTCGAACCAAAAACATCAGCGTCTAATTAGGAAAAGAGCAGGACATATTATAAGGCTGCACAAATCCACTGTCAAAACGACAGTCGACGCACTTCTCTGCACAAGGCCGGCTCCTTCAAAAGAGAAGAGAAAACCTGCTGAAGGGCCAGCCGAGCCCGTGCGTCTCAGGAGCCCTGCACACACGTCCACCTGAGGCACGTCCGGGGCACGTAGGGGAGCACGGCAGAGGAGAAACGCGGCACTGGCTGGTCACACGCCGGACCCGCGGCACTTTTCGACAGCAGAAAAGGAAACCAGTAACCCTTAAAGCTCCTCTCAACTTACGGCAGTCACCATGCATCCCGCCCCCGTGAAACGACGGGCCAACACAGAGGCCAGCGAGCCTCTTCCGCACTCGGACAGGGAGGACACGCTTTAGGCTGCTGCGCACGAAGCAGCCACGGACAACACGTGTTCTAAGCGCGCTCACTCTGTGTTCTAAGGAAACCCCAGCTCCCGACACTGACATTTACATTTCAGATAACTTACACGTCATAAGATATTATTCTGCTTTTGATTTCTTTCAACTGTTTAAAAACGTAAAAACCATTCCTGATTCATGGGTCATATAAAAATAGGCAGCTGGTCAGATCTGGCCTGTGAGCTGTAGCTTGCTGATCTCTGAACTAATATAAAGATATAAATGACATTTATAATTAACATCGTACCTGAAAGGGTTTTTGGAAACTTTCATCCATTGCCAAACGACCATATTCCGTGAAGAGCTTTAAAAAAAAGTTATAGTTTATTAGCCAAAATTACTTAAAGTATTTCTGTAGCTATTCTTTATCAAAGTATGCATCTAACAGACTTCACTACTACCTACACGAAACCAAAGTTCTAGTTTCAGAAGCCCACAGGAGCCATGAACCTTAACATAACCTTGAATCTGCTTCATATCCCACATCCCAATCCAGTAACAACCCCAGAGTCCAACCACTCACACGCCACGCGGCCTGGAATACTGCAGCAGCTTCCTAGCTGGCCTCCCCGCCCCTCCCCATCCCCATTCGCAACATGGCAGCCACCACGACTCTGTTATCAATAAGGTTAGTTAGATCACATCCTGCCTCTGCTCAAACGCTCCAACCCCAGTCAATCTAAAGCCAGCCCTGACAGTGGGATCTCTCCACGCGGCCCCACCTGGCTGTTCCCCAGACCTGCTGGGTGCGCTGCTGCGGCAGGGGCCCCTGTCTGACCCCCTCCCTGCCTGTACTGTTCTTTCCCATGACATCTGTGCACCTAGGTCCCTCTTTCCTTAAGGCCGTTACTCAGAGGGCCCCTCAATGAAGCCTTCCACAGCCATCTCCTTAATAAGATTACAATTCTCCGCACAGTATTTCCTACCCTGTGCCTGCCTCTTTAATTTCTCTCCTTACCATGCCCCACTACCTGAGATCCTGCACCCGCACTCACCCTGGTTCCTGTCTGTCTTCACTACGAGCCCTGACACTCCAGGGGGCAGGAAGGTCTCTGCATCATGCACTGCCTCCAGCAAGAGCCCCGGGACCACAGTGTGTATGCCATTCAAATGACAGAACGGACACATTCTTGGAGGTTAGTGTTTACACATACATTTACCTCTATTTCTCTGTGAAGCTTCACTAAAAGTACAGCAAAAAGAAGTTCAAAAGTTATAAACTTCAGGACAAAGATGATGAGAAATAATATGACAGCAGACAAGAGTTGTCAAAAATATTGGAAGGAAAACAGACAAACGAGAACTGTCTCAAGTTTTGGCTTTCTCTGCCATAAGACATCTGCAAGAGACAGGGGCTTTCCAGAAATAAGCACATTTTTCTCAGCGGAATCCCTGAGAGGCTCAGAAATTAGCAGCACAGTTACCTTGAAGGAAGCGGTGAGGAAGGTCACCAAAGAAAAGGCTGGAAGTCTCTGGAGAAAGCACCCCACACGCCCAGGCCCTGCTCCCCCCCCCAGCTCCAGCGCCCTCCTCCTGCCCCCACTGACGTGGAAGACACGCATTCGGGAGAGTGTAACCCAGAGAGGGCATGTGTGGACACTGACTCCAAACTCAACTGAGTAAGCAGTCCCCTTCCTTATTGGAAATGAGTTCTTAAATCAAAGTCTACACACATACCAAGCAGAGAAACCCCGTAGGCCCTCACACCCAGCTGGGGCCTCAGCAAGCTTCTACGCCCCACCAACCCAGGCAGGAGTTTAAAGAATTCTTCTCTGGGGAGCTGGAGAGCCCAGGAAGAGCAGTCTGCAAACACAGACATTTAGAGGTTGAAACGAAATAGCTAAATCATCTTCCCCCATCACCTGTGATCCAAAACAACACATAAAGCTCGACTCCTACCAAAGCTCCCTGTCATATCTTTTCAGCGGCTTGCCGTTAAATATAGACAGTTGAGAACCACCAGACCTTTGAAAAAAGCTTCTAGCAGAAAAGATAAAAACTCATGCCCTTCAATTCTAGAATATCATCTTATATCATCCCTTTTGTAATTTCTTTCCCTCCATTTTCTTTCTTTTGTTAAAATACCTATTATTAGCCTTGGCTGGCGTAGCTCAGTGGATTGAGTGTGAGCTGTGAACCAAAGCATCGCAGGTTCAATTCCCAGTCAGGGTACATGCCTGGGTTGCAGGGCCATGACCCCCAGCAACCACACATTGATGTTTCTCTCTTTCTCCTTCCCTTCCCTCTCTAAAAATAAATAAATAAAATCTTTAAAAAATAATTTAAAAAAAATATTATCAACGTGTTACTCTGACCTGAATTGATCACCAGCTTCTCCCTTCTTTCCGTGCCCGCTGTTCCCCCCCCACCCCCTCCCACTCCCCCCACCAGCTCCCTCTGATTTCTCTCCTCCTCTCTCTTTGCTTCTCTTCTCCCCCCCACCCCCCATTTCTACTCTTCATCTTTTATTCAACCTGCCAGGGAGATTTTCTCCAATTTATCTTCTAACTCCTCCTCTACTGAATTTTCCATTTCTGCTATCATAGTTTTCGTTTCCAGCAGCTCTCTTTTGTGTTCTGAGTGTTGCCTTTTAATAGCATCACCCTATTGTTCTTTCTTGGGTGCAACAATTTGAACATCTTATCTGAGGATATGAATTTACACAGAATGAAGAAAAAGCCCACACGAAGGTACATTATCATGAAAATTCAAGCCAAGAATAAGATCTTGCAAGCTTTAAAGAGAAACGGAGGTCACGGACAAAAGGTCAGGAATCAGATGGTGTGGGACTTCACCGCTGGGAGCTGGAAGGCGATGGAGCAACGGCTTCAACTCTAAAAGAGAAATATCTCCCTCCTATAATTCTAGGATAAAACTAAAACATTCTCAGACTTAACGAGACCTCAAAAAAGTTATCTCCTCCGCATCCTTCCCATCCTTCCTCAGGAAGCTACTGGAGAAGGCACAGGATTAAAGGCAGAATAAACAAATAAAAGATTAAATGGGATCCAAATGAGAAAGGAACTGAGAAGAAGTTGCCAGGCCCTGATTTCAACCTATATTATAAAACTTAAAAAAAAAAAAAAGAGTCTGGTACTGGCACGAACGGCAGAGAGTGGAACAGAACACGGAGCCCAGGACAGCCCGCGCCGCTTTACGGTCGGTTTACGACAAAGACGACGAGAACGTACAACGGGGAAAGGACGGTCTCCTCGACCCCAAACACACCGGGAAAACTGGGGGGCGCGCGCCGGGGAACAAAACTGGGTTTTGTTCCAAGCACGGACATGAACTCGGACGGATTAAAAGCCTGATTGTGAGACCCGACCACAGAGCCCCTCGGAGAAAACCGGGAGGCTGACCTCCTTGACACGGGACTTGGGGATGCTTTTTGGATCTGACAGCAAACACAAAGGGAACAAAACCAGGCACAAATAAATGAGGCTGCGTCACACTAAAAAGCTTCTATGCAGCAGAGGACACCACTGACAGTGTGAAAAGAACCCACTGAACGGGAGAAAAGATCTGCAAACCATGCATCAGCGAAGGGTTAGTATCCAAAATACACAAGGAACTCATGCAACTCAATAGCAAAAAAAAACTTCTTTAAAGCCAATTAAAATTGGGCAGAGAATCAGAATATTGCCCCACAGAAGACATATACATGGCCAACAAACACATAAAACGGCACTGAACGTCCCGAATCGTGAGGGAAACGCCAATCAAAGCCACAACGAGATAGCACCGCACACCTGTTGAAATGGAGCATCAGAAAGACAAAGTGTTGGAGAGGATGTGGAGAAACGGGCCCTCTTGCACACTGCTGTAGATTGGTGTGCACTTTAAACAGTTTAGAGGTTCCTCAAAAAATTAAAAACAGAACTACTATGTCGATCCACCAATTCCCCTTCTGGAAATTAACCCAAAGAAAATGAAAACTTGACTCAAAAAAGACACATGCACCCCATATTCATTGCTGCATTATTTACGAAAACCAAGACACGGCAGCACCCTAAGTGTCCACCGGTGAATGAATAGATAAAGATGTGGCATATGTATGCAATGGAATACCCCTCTGCCATAAAAGAAGCAAATTTTGCCATTTGCAATACAAATAGACCTTGAGGGCATTATGTGAAGTGAACTAAGTCAGATAAAGAAAGACAAATACCATATGATCTTACTTATATGGGGAATCTTAAAAAAAAAAGGCCCCAGCCTGCATGGCCCAGTTGGTTAGGGCACTGTCCAGTAAACCGAAGGGTCATGGGTTCAATTCCAGGTCGGGGCACGTGCCTGGGCTACAGGTTTGGTCCCCAGTCAGGGCATGTGCAAGAAGCAACCGATGAATGCTTCTCACACTAATGTTTCTCTCCCTCTCTCCCCCTTCCTTCCCCTCTCTAAAATCAATAAGCACATCCTCAGTGAGGATAAAAAATAATGATAGAAACCAAATTTAAAACAAAACAAGCTCGCCCTGACCACACGGCTCAGTTGGCTGGGTGTCAAAGTGAAAGGGCTCCAGTGCGATTCCTGGTCAGGGCACGCCTGTGGGTGGCACGCCCGGTCCCTGGTTGGGGCGCACACCAAGGGAGCCGATCGATGTTTCTCTCTCACATTCATGTTTCTCCCCCCCCTCTCTAAAAATAAATAAATAAAATCCTTCTTAAAAAAATAAGTGTCGCAGGTTCGATTCCCAGTCAGGGTACATACCTCGGTTGCAGGCCATGACCCCCAGCAACCGCACATTGATGTTTCTCTCTCTTTCTCTCTCCCTCTCTCCTTCCCCTCCCTCTCTAAAAATAAATAAATAAAATCTTAAAAAATAAAAAATAAAATAATAAAATAAGCCCCAGCTGCTGTGGCTCAGAGGATTGAGTGCCAGCCTGTGAACCAAACGGTGGCTGGTTCCGATCCCAGTCGGGGCACCTGCCCCGTCAGGGCTGTGCACCAGGCCCCCAGCAGGGGACTCGAAAAAAGCAGCTGTCGACGTATCTCTCCCACATTGATGTTTCGCTCCCTCTCTTTCTTCCTCTCTTCCCCGCTCTCCAAAAATAAATAAACAAAATCTTTAAAAAATATAAAATAAAACACAACAAAATAAAACAAGTTCACGGGTAAAGAACAGACTGGTGGTTGCCAGGGTTGCAATACTGTTTAACTATTTTAAACTACATGTATGTGTGTAACTTTTGTTCAAAACAAATTGTTGCTTTAAAATAAAGTACCTAATACACATAAAATACTATATAAAGACAAAACAAAAACACACATAAAATTATATAACACCCATGATCTCCTATCTATAATTCTGAAGTTCAAAAAACTCTAAAAACCCAAGTTAAGCAGCAAACTCATTTGAAGAAAAACATACCTTGAACTGATGTGAGCTTTTTATTTTTGTCTTAAAACTTTTACATGATATACTATGATGTTTTAATGAGGGATATATACCTGTAACTGTTGAAGATCATCTTCCTGAATGTTCTGGGACAAATTATAAATCTAGAAAACAAAAGTCCAAATTGATACTATTTTACCTTACTTCAAACAAAGCCCAAATAAGCCTAAAGCATTGAACAGGAAGTTCTGTGCATTTAACAATTTGCATATAAAAATATGAAGTCTATTCAAACAGAAATATTATCTGTCCTTTGGGAAACTATGCAAACATGATTAAAATAACCTAATTCTTCCTTTACAGTTTAAAATATAGTTTTCTTAAATTCTTACCAAATCTGCTTTTCTGATCTGATGCAATTGCAATTTCCACTTTTCAACTTTTCTTAGAGTATTTTATATAAATGTATAACCCAATTGGAAAAATAGCATAGGCTCCTTCCTGAGCCTGCAAGAGTTAACTTGTATCTGTGGTCTAAAAAGAACATTTACATATCACCACAGGAATTCTGATAACAGAAAAGTAACTGAAACTACATGCAATCTCTTTATCGTACTTCCCCCACACACCTTTTCCCTAGTCGGGAGGTTTTACCTGCACAGAACTGGTCATGGTGCTCAGCGCGAAGATGGTAGCGCAGTCCTTCACGGTGGACTGGCTGTCGAACGCCCCCTGGGTATCCATCAGGACAACTGCAACCTTGAAAACAAGGGGGAAAATAGGTTAAAGTGCTAAGGGGAAAATGTAAAGGGGAAATTGGAAAGTACAGGTGACATTTAAACGAGGCTTAAGCACCTGCGTATAGGTTCTGTCAGAAAAGTATGATTATTTATTTAGGTGCCCAGTTCCGAGCGGAGACCTTTACTGGAGATGATCTGCTCTGACCGAATACAATGACACAAAACGGAGGCCTGTGGAGCCGGAGGGAAAGAGGGAAAAATTGCCCCACCAACTGAAACAGCCAAATTAACTCACTCACCAAGCCAGTAATTTGGATGTCTTTTGTCGTTAAAAAGAAATTTACAATACCAACTCACTTTTTTAAAAAGCGATGATTTTAAATTTAGGTATAATCCTAAATTTAATAAAACATATGGGCTGGAATATTTTTGACATTTACCTGCAAGGTTGTATTCAACCCTCAAATTTCTAGGGTTTTCTGATAGATTGATAAAAGAAAACTAATGTTTATTTTTTTTAAGGTTTTATTTTTTAGAGAGAGGGGGAGGGAGAAAGAGAGGGAAAGAAACATCAATGTGTGGTTGCCTTTCACATGCCCCCTACTAGGGACCTGGCCCACAACCCAGGCATGCGCCCTGACTGCGAATCGAACCAATGACCCTTCAGTTCACAGGCTGGTGCTCAATCAACTGAGCCACACCAGCCAGGGCCTAACGTTTATTTTAATCTTTACAAAAGACAGACCACACCAAAGAGGCCAGAGGAAAGCAGGAGGATCTAGGCTATCACTGCACTCCGCGGAATCTAGCTAAGCTTCAAAAAGGACCTAATGACCCATTCCCACCCAGAAAGTGAGACTTAAAAGTTCAGAAGCAGCCCTGGCTGGTGTGGCTCAGTGGATTGAGTGCCAGCCAGCCTGCGAACCAAAGGGGCACCAGTTCAATTCCCAGTCAGAGCGAGTAACAGGGTTGTGGGCTGGGTTCCCAGCAGGGGGGCATGCAAGAGGAAAACAGTGGATGTTTCTCTCACATTGATGTTTCTCTCCCTCTTTCTCCTTCCCTTCCCCTCTCTCTAAAAAAGTAAATAAATAAAATCTTTTTTAAAAATTTAGAAGTCAACAGCAGGAGACACAGCCACAAGCACAAGTGGCTGCCTCTGGAAAGAGTAACTAGACGGTACAAGGGCTGCTCCTTTTTATTATCAATATTGCAATATTATTTAACTATTTAAACTATGCATATACATATTACTTTGTTAAAAACAAAATGTTGCTTAAGAAAAGCAAGTACCAGATACATATAAAATACATACAAACAAAACAAAAATACACATATAAAACCATGGTCTCTTAGCTGTAATCTGAAAGATCAGCAGAGGCCAGGGGGTGGGAGAAGAGGGAAACGAGGAGTGACTGCTAATGGGAGCTGAGGTTCTTAAGGGGGAGATGAAAACGTTCTGGAATTAGATGGTGGTGATGCCTAAGCAGCTTTGCAAGTGTACTAAAAACTGCTGAATCATACCCTTTTAAAGAACAAATTGTATGGCATGTAAATTTATCTCAACAAAAAAGAGCCAATTATGGCATCTATTTGCTAACTTAAAAAATGAGGCTAAAATAGGCCTGGCTGGTGTGGCTCAGTGGATTGAGTGCAGGCTGCGAACCGAAGGGTCACTGGTTGGATCCCCAGTCAGGGCACATGCCTGGGTTGTGGGCCAGGTCCCCAGTTGGGGGTACACGAGAGGCAACCACACATGGATGTTTATCTCCCTCTTTTTCCCTCCCTTCCTCTCTCCCTAAAAATAAATAAATAAAAACAAAAATATGAGGCTAAATAGAGGAAATACTGAAGAAAAGCTTTTGAAGAATGGGAGTCATGCATACTTAAAGTGGTATTCTCATATCATGTGCATCAACTCCAGCCCACAAAATACTGAATGACTTAGCATTTAGGAAAAGGCTAAAACTAAACAACCTGAAGTGGGAGTTTGGAACCTTAAGTCCTAGAAAGATTCAAAAATGAGAGGAACAAGCAGCTGTGAAGGCATGCTTTAGGAAGGAATAGGTTACAGTTTGTTTAGGAAACAGCGGCACCCCCAAATCCCCTCTTCCAGTTTAGGTGACATGTGACTTGCCCCCTTTGGGGACAGGCTCTATAGCCGTAGCTCACTACTTTTTGTTAGAAGCCTTACATTACTATTTGACCTTTTAAACTATATTCATGTACTACTTTTAAACCATAAACATATTGTTTTGACAAAAATTATTTTTTGATTGGATTATCAAAGCGCACATTCAAGTTCTTATGTTGTCGTTGTTTCTGTTCATTTGTAAGCCTTTTTCTTCCTTACCTTCTTGCCGCCCGGCTTCTCCACCGTGAAAACTTCATTCCAGATCTGAATCCCAGTGGTCTCCGGGTCAGAGCCCCCTCTCCATGAAAATCCTGTTAACGGTTCTTCTGGATCGCCTAGCCAGTTCGAATGGCCACCTTCTTTCTACAGGAAGAATAAGCCATTTCCATTCAATCTTAAATGTTAAGTAATTTTGCACATCAAGAATAACCTCCGTGCTTATTTTGCTCTTAAGAACATAAAGTCTCATTTTCTAATTTGACATGAAATAACTCTACCTTACCTGGAAATACAAGTATCGGAGCATAAAGTCCAGGAAGAAGGACTTGCCCTTCCGGAAGGCCCCGGCCACTGACAGCACCACCACATCGAGGTCTCGAATGTGGTCCTGCAAGAGGATGCTGGCCAAGGCTTTCTCGTCTAGCTCAAAGGAATGCTGGTCCTTCTGAACCAAGACCACCTGCACTGGACCAGGCTTTGCCCTCTCCATGGCATCACCTGTGTTGTCACAGAGAAAAACATTAGTTCTGCATATTTTTTAAATACGTATTTTTGAACATGGGAAAAGTAAACATTTCTTATGGTACAAAAGCACTAACCATTAAAAAATGACAAATTAGACTTTATTAAATTAAGAATTTTTGTTCATTAATAGATACCATTATGAGAGTTAAAATGCAAACCACGGGACGGGAGAAAACATCACCATATCTATATCCAAAAGACTCATATCCAGAGTCAATATAGATCTGTCAGGAAAGGACAAATATACCAATTTTTTAAATAGCGATGGGCAAGATTATAAACAGGTGCTTCATAAAAAAAGGATATCCGAATGGTCAATAATCACATGAAAAAGTGCATCCACACAATTGCTTATCAAGGAAATGCAAATTACAACCATGAGACCCATTCCCTGCCTATCAGAACGGCTAAAAGGTCAAAGAGCGACAGCAACTGTGGCAGGAGATGCGGTGCGAGGGGAATTCTCGTCCACTCTGATGGGAACATACCACTTTGGAACACTGTTTGGCAGTGCCCAGGAAAACTAAACGAGCCTCCCTGGCTGGTGTGGCTCAGGGGATCGAGCGCGGGCCTGAGGGCCTGCGGACCAAGGGGTCCGTGGTTCGAGCCGGGGCACATGCCTGGGTTGAGGGCCAGGTCCCAGGAGGGGAGCACAGGAGAGGCAGCTGCACATTAATGTTTCTCTCCCTCTTTCTCTTCCCCTTCCCCTCTCTCTAAAAATATATAAATAAAATCTAAAAAAAAAAAGAAAGAAAGAAAACTAAACAAACCCATGACCCAGGAATTCCACTCCTAGGTATACACCTGAGAGAAATCAATGCTTAGGTCCACAGAAAAACATGTATAAGAGACTCCTCACATCAGTGTGATGTGAAATGGTCCAAAACCGAAAATAACCCAAGTATCCATCAACAGAAAGGGTGTCTGCCACGGCTATGCCTTTTGCATATATCATTTAACCCTCAGAACAGCCCTATGGGGTAAATAACTCTGTCCCATTAATCATAAGGAAACTGAGACCTACACAAGTTAAGGAACTTGCACAACAGGTTCTGGAGAAGATCTTGAAAAGACGTTTGTTTTTTTTAATTCTCACCCGAGGATATTTTTTCATTGCTTTGTGGGGGTGGGGGCCGGTGGGCAGGAGAACATTGATCTGAGAGAGAAACATCGGCTAATTGCCTTCTCCTACGTACCCTCACCAAGGATCAAACCTACAACCTGGATACATGCCCTGACTGAGAATCGAACCCATGACCCTTTGGTCTAAGAGACAATGGTCCAACCAACTGAGCCACACTGGCCAAGGCTTAGAAAGATCTTCAAGTGGCTATGTTTTACAGACCATTCTTAATAATCCTGTCAAAGTTTTAGGAGCAACTGACTCCTTGGCTCAAAATTAAGCACTAACTAGTAATTTCCCTACCAGAGTTGAAAGAAAAAGATAATTCTTTCAAATTCTGAGCCACTTTCTATCTACGTGCATCTGGAAAGTTCACAAAAAACTACCGGTGAGGCCAAGGGGCTGAGGCCCAGTGCTAGCTCTCTCAGTGTGAGTACATACCACTGGTACTGAGGGAGGTGTTTTAGGTCATTTAAAGGGTATTTTATTTTCAAAATTATGCATTTTAATGTCTATTAGGAAACAAAAATCACATTTGAACGGACCGTGGCTTAGAAGGAGGCTAAGTTTAAAGAATGGATCCATTTAAAGCAAACTGAAGGACGAACACTAAGTAACGCATGCACAAGCAGGCGATGTGGCCAAAAACCATAAACATGGTCCCGAACCGCATGGGGCTGGGACGCACAAAAGGCCGCACGATCACGGCGGCCAGCCGACGAAGCCTAACTGCCAGTCTGTCTACCCTTCAAGCTGCTGAGTTCCTGCTCACTTTTTATCATTCATCAGAGAGCAACAAAGGGGTTCGTGCCTCTTTTTAATCTGTTACAGACGACTGGAAAACAGGTTACAAACATAGGTTAAATGTCATGCTATCATCGCAATAAATGCATACTAATACTTTACCATTACCGGCAGAGAAGAACGGGAATGTTTGTGAATCATCTTTTAGGGTTCTGCTTACTGCCACAAGAGCAGGTGAACCCAGAAGTCAAAGACCCTCGGTCTTCCCTGTAAGAGCACTAAGGAGAACCGTTCATTCGGACCTTGGGGGTACACCACTCAGAGCAGTACCAAACAAAGTCCCTGAGATAGCTGGTTGCTCCCCCAGTATCCATTGTCCCCTCTGCTACAGCGAGAGGTTTTGAGCTGGGCATATTAACTGCCCAGCGCATTTCCAACCCCACCTTGCAGCGAGGGTGTCACCATGTGACTAAATTCTGACTGGAAACGATACAGCAACTGCCAGGTCATGCATTTATTTTCCCCCTTCCCGCTGGCTGAATGCAGAAGTGGAAGTGAGTCACCCCGGGCCCGGCGCAGGAGGGCACCACCCGAGGAGTACTGGAGCCACAGGGGCGGGAGGACCCAGGGCTTCGAGTAACAGAACTGCCAACTGGTCCACTGCCACGTGAAGAAAAATAAAAATCTGCCTCGTGTAAATCACTTATCTAGCGGCGCAATCAGAAGTCGCCAAACCTAGAAACCAAGACAGCAGTCCCCCAGGACTTCGCAACTGAGTTCATGAAACCGGCTCTTTGAATTTCATCTATTTCACCAGTAAGGTTCACCAAGCAACGTGAATGCCCTGATACATAGCAGACACACAATGAACAACTGCAAAAAGAATATGTACCTAGCAGGGGTGTCAAACTCATTGTCACCGGGGGCCACATCAGCCTCGCGGTTGCCTTCAAAGGGCTGAATGTAATTTCAGGACCGTGTAAATGTAACTACTCCCTGGCAGTTAAGTAGGTTCAGCACTGCCACCAGGCAGAAACAAGGCACCAGGCTGGATAAAATTAGGTAGAGGGCCGGATTCGGCCCACGGCCTTGCACGTGCCACCTGTGAGGCTCTGAGACGCAGCTGAAGGCTTCAACCCTAGACAAGACGGAATCCTCCAGTGACCATGGCGTGGGCAGCTGTGCACAGCGAGGTGCACACCTGACAGAAGCTGAGACCACCGAGAAGGGCAGTGAAGAAAAAAAGTGACAAAGCCTTCACTCGAGTCTTCCTCTCTTTCTGCCAACAGCAGGGGGAAAGCAAGAGGAGCAGGCGGCGGGAGCTGGCTGGTCCTGCCCTCGCCTCCGCAGCAGTGCAGTGGGCATACCTACTGGGTTCAGACAGGTCCTGTTCGTTTGGCTGGAGCCGCACGCCAAGATTCGGTTTAGACGAACAGAGCTGCCCACTCCTCACCACACCACCACTACCTCTCGCTTCCTAGGACGGCCGGACGCCACTGCTGATCTTTCCACGTGAATGAAACCTTCACTTCTGCTCGCCCCTCCCCAGATGTCGCGTCAACATCCTTTGCCGGTTTATCCTCACAACTCAGGCTCCCCAGTGCCTGCCAGGGAGTCCAGCCCACAGCCCACAGCCCACGGCCAGCAGCCGCACGCAGTCACGCATGGCTATGAATGAGGCCCAACGCAAAGTCGTAAATTTACTTAAAACAATATATTTTTGTGTGTGTGATTACGTGTCACAATGTATCTATCTAATGTGTGGCCCAAGACAACTCTTCTGCTTCCAGGGTGGCCCAGAGAAGCCGAAAGGTTGGACACGCCCCTCCTTAGACACTCGAATCAGATCTGACGGCCCTTCCCTTAGGCTAGGGCATCTCCCAACCCTTCTTGCCTATTAGGCGGATTCCTCAGTCACCGTCCCCAAGTGTTTCTTTCATCACGTCACCTCAATCCCTCGGGGCTGAACTCCTTCATTACAGTAGGCAATTATGATTCACCGCGCAGACCGGGTGCTCCCAAGGAACAGAGAAACTAGGAGGCATTCGGCCTCAGTACCAAACGCAAGACGAACAGTCGCCCCCTAGTACTGCGAACCCTGAGCCCAACAGCACAGCTCAGCAAACACCAGCTTCTGCCCTTCCCCTTCCCCACCCCCAGTCTTTCATTGTCTAGTTCCTTGAAGGTGTGTCTGCATCCACCTACGGACCCCTCCCCCTCTTTGCACCTGGCTGACTTTCCTCTCAATCTGTCTGTGACCTCTCTTGATTTCCATTCAGCCCTCTCTCTGTGTGACAAAACACAACGGCCACTTCTGAGACTTCTTAACACCTGTGGGCTCGGGGACAGCGCACACTCCTCGTTCCCCTCCAAGCTCTGCATCACCTCCCTTCGCTTCTTCCTCTCCCCCTCAGCTCCCCGTGATACACACCGGGGCTCCGCTGCAGCCTTCTGCGGTTCTCGTTCGCTCCCTCCAAGAACTGCTTGTCCTTATTTCGCTACACCCTCTATGCTGGGGATGCAACTCCATTAACTTCTCACCTCCATTCAGGTGCACACGGGCAGCCGCCTAAGGGACAGGTTCACCTGGATATTCCGCACCACCTCCTGCTCTCGGGAGTTAATATGTGGAAATATATGGGTGTAAGAGTCAGGAGAGAGTCCTGTCCTGGCTCTCCCACGGTCTGTACGGTTCTGGGCATGTCTAGGCTCTGCTGCCTCCCTCTCCACAGAAAGATGAGTCAAAGTCCAACCTCGAGCGACCCTTCCAGTGCTAACACTGTAGAAATCTACATTTAGTATCATCCACGTGAATCCTCAAGTCACTCCACTTTTCTCAGAATCTCCGTCACTCAGGCTCCACATCTTCCCTATCTTCCTATACACAATACACCATCAAACCCTACCATTTCCTCCTTCCACGGTTTAAGCTGCTGCTTTGGCACAGGCGGTGGGTGACTCCAGTGAGGCAGTACGTACAGGAGAAAGGCCCTCCCAACGGCCAGGGAAGGCCAGAGTTCGGGGCCCACTTTTACACTGAACGTGACAGCCCGAGTAAATCACTTTATTCTCTGTGTCTTGGTCCCTCTAGAAAATCAGGAGGTTA